TTTTTAGCGTGCGCAGTGAAATAGCTCACGTTTTAATACACGCAAACCTTTGATAGATCCGGCCCTCTGAGTTTTTACAGATTTTATTTAAGGGTTTCTTAATAAAGACTGCTAAATACATATTAGTATCACAATTTCCATGATATTATCAGTGAAACAATTTAAAAACATCCATCATGTTCCTCCTGCTTCACAACCATTTATTCAATTGAGCTAGTCAGACCAAATCCTAATAAATCATAATTTTAGTTTATGGGGTATAAGTATGGCTCTATGTGTTTGTTAGGGAGGTGCAAACATTGCATTATTACATCTGCCAAGGAGGTTATGTTTTCATCTGTGTTGGTTTGTCTTTTTTCAAAATAAGGGATTTAAGTGCATATAGTCACTGGCAGCATATGATTACATTTTGGTGATGATCTGGATCACCAGATCCAGGAATTTTTTTAAAGATTCTGTGAATACAGGTATTAACTTAAGGTGGAAGTCCTAATAGGTCTGCACTCTCTGCATGCTTTTCTAGTATTCTAGATGTTTTCATATTAGAATCTAAACATGAAACCGTGGTGTCAATGCTGCGCATGTTCTGTATAACTTATATGTTTATATTACAAACTGAAGTTAAATTAAAACACTTTTTTTGTTACATTCTAAGGCAGTATTTAGAAATATTGTGTTTTCGGGACGATCAGACAGTCAGCTGACCTAATGTTTGGTGATAAACTGCACCGATTTTCAGGTGGAGCTGTTAGATCTGACATCTAGCTGTTAGCTAGCAACCGACAGAGATGACGGCACCTCGGGGCACTCAGACCTTTCTGTTCTCCTTGTCCGATGTTGGGTTGTTGGTAATCTTGAAGAGGTGCAGGTCGATCACTTCCTTCATTTCATAGTTGTCTCCTCGACGCTTGCAAACAATCACAGCAGCATCGAACAGGAAGATATGCCTGCAGAAGAAATTATCATTACAATCAAATGAAAATGCCTCTCGTCTCTATGGTTCCTCTTTCATACCAGCAGCTAAAAAAACACCCAGCTAATTGTATCCTTGAGATTCTTCAGCGGGAGGAAAATTAGCATAATGACATTCATTTGCCATGGTACGATTCACTCAATTACATCAAGTAGTGGGGAAAAACAGGTTTGGTTTCATCAACTCTATGTCATCAGCTTATGTGTACTCTGGAAGGTTGCCAACAACATCTCCCCTCCTCCTCTCATTGAGTTACTGTCTGGCTTAACTTGACATCCTACCTGTCCTGTTTAGCTCGTCTGTCTACCGAGGCCACCCGTACCTCCCCATCGCCTTTGGGTCTTCCATAGTTGCTCAAAGGTTGGTTCTGGAAAAGCAGAAGAAGAGAAAGAAAGAATAAATTCAGTCGGCGATATGGAAAACCAAACAGCCATTGTCTGCTTATTTGGACCTACCAGGTTTTCAATGGATCTCTGATACTGATCTATTTCTCGCAAAGTCTCGTTGTCCCTTTTGACTTCATTGACGTACTGCGCCAAGTCCTGCACACATGAAAACACAATGAGTCCATTTAAATTTTGCTGCACAATGAAATGCTTGCTTGATTTTCGTGAAATGAGTCTGTATACTTAAAATTTTGTTTTTTTTTTTAGATTTTGTCAGTTTGCAGCCCCAAACTTTTATGTATCTTAGTGGGATTTAGTGGCAACACAACATCTGTTTGATGCATAATGGAAAATAAGAGAAATAATTTTTAAAAATACAGGATTGTGACATTAATCGGAGGACCAGCAAAGTTTTTAAAGGTAATCATGAAGGAGCTTCAGAGACTCACAGATCAGGAGGGAGACACTGTTGTTAGGATAAATATCAGACACACATTCTACCAACCTGGCCTTTATGGAAGAAAAGCAAGAAAAAAGACACTTTTAAAAGCCATAAGAAACTCTGACTGACATGGAAAAAGGGAAAGCAGGTTGTGTGAACGTCTGGTTCACACAAAGACATTTCAAAATCATCAGTTCATTTTTAAATCCTAAGAGATTCCCACAAATAATAACAAAATAAAATCCCAGATACAACAAAATTGAGTCGAACCTAGAATGGGATTTCATACAGGAAAATTCAGATGTTGGATGGGAAATCTCACAAAACCTCTGGAGATCAGATGTATGTTCAAAGGAATATGGTTGACAAGGAAGAAGAAGTGCCTGTCATGATCTGGCCTGTTTGCTCCTCCTTAATTAGTCATTCCTTTCACCTGTTGTTTTCCCTCCCTGCCTCAATTATAATTTATTCCTCTCACCTGTTTCCTCTGGTTTATATTCAGTTCAGCCTGAGGATTCAGTGCCAGATCATTAACTGTTTTTCTGTTAGCCTATCTGTTCAGTTTATTTTCTTGGTTCATGTCCTGGATCCTGGCGGCCAGTGGAAAGAGGGTTTTAGTGTTTGTCTCGTCTCCTAATCATCCACTGTTCCTCCCCTGCTGAGTCCTCTTGGTTTTTGGCTCTATATGCGGGGAGGTTCAGTTTTTATCCAAGTAAGCCTTGCTCCAAGGTAGAGACCAGTTTAAAGGTCCTGCATCAAGTTCTGGTTCCACGTCCTGTCTCAGCTACTCTCTTCCACTGAGCCTGCTCATCTGCACCTGATCCTGTCTGCTCCTGTGCATGACCACCCGTTCACGCTTTCAGACCCTGTCAGACTCTGAACCCTCCTGGGAAGTTGTGGATGCCTGGAAATTTGGATCCTGCTACCTGTTCTGTTCCTGCCTGATCTGGATCCTGTCCCTGTCTGTTCTGTATCCATGACCAGGATCGGCTTCCTGCATGTCCTCTGGGTCTGCAGCTCTTGGGACATTCTTGGACTGGACTGTTAAACCGGAGTGTCAGAGATTGGGCGGTGCCCCGCCCCCCCTCCTGCAGTATCCGCGAGCCACAGCTCCACTTTAGTTTTTGTTAATTTAATAAACCTTTTTGAATTTTCCTACTGACTGTCTCTCCTTGAATACTGGGTCCATCTGTCCTCGGTTCATGACAGTGCCGATATTTTGGCTTTGGTCAAAGAGGTGGAGCCAGCTCGAGTATAGCAGCTACTTTCTATAATACAGTATGAAGGAAAGGGGTGTTTTTTTAATTTATTTTTTTTTAGGAAACTTTTTCTTATTGGACACATGTAGGATTCAGCAGGCTTGTCTTCTCTTGGAGTACAGAACACACACAGACACATTAGTATATAAGGCCAGGACACGTCCTGAGCGCTTCCAACATCCGTCGGAGCAAAATAGATCACACTTAACACAAAACATGATGATTTCTTAAGATTATCTGTAGAGCCAACAAGGTACCGGTAATCGGGGCGTAACATAAAACTACATATCATGAAACCCCATCTGTTAGACGCTGCAAACCACTTGAAACTGGAGCGGAGGTTCTCCTTACAGCAGGACAAATGTAAACATAAGGGCAGAGTTATGATGGATTAAGTTAAACTGAATATTTATGTGTTACAAAAGTCCCCTCAAAGCCTGTGAAAAGAATCTAGTGTACATACTTACGCCTAATCTAACTGAAAAAATAACCATCTTAACTTAGTAGTGAGAGTGATTCATTCAACTTTAAAGGTGGAATAAGACAGGGGTGTCCAACCAGTTTATCATTTTCATGCCTTTCAACGGGCCTCTTGCATCTGTTCAACGTTAAATCTTTCGTCTGGGGCTGTGTTAACATCGGTATCGGACGATGTCATGTCAGTCATTTTTTTAATATCTCTGTATTTTCAGTGTGTATTTACAGTGTCCAAATGGTAGGAAAAGATATAATATATAATAAGTTATCAGCTGTAAATGCAGCGTCAATAGATATAGATATTGACCCAGATTTAGATATTGGTGCATCCCTAATCTAATTCCATTTTATCTTGAAAAAGATCCAACTACTCTAAAATTATAATTTTCCTTTCATTTCCTTTCCTTTAAAGAAATATTTTTTAAATAATATATACCTCTATTACATGCCAGGCCTTTTTTTGTCTTTTGAGGCCCCGATAAATTACCTTGCAGAGCCTTAACTTGGATTAAGTTGTTAAGACATGAGCCTTTATGTGTCACAAGAGATTAATAATCTTAACTTTCTTCTCGGTTAGTGTTTAGAAAACTGTGTTTGGAAATACCTTCATCGCATCTAATGCAGTCCGTAGATTTGTTTTTTCTGAGGCATCATGCGTGTGTTTCACCAGCTCCTGTTGAACAGAGAAAAAAAAAAATCACAGCAATGTACCAAAAATGAGAAAGAACTGAGAGCCAATAAGAAATAGGATGCATAAAAACCTTAATATACACTGTTACCCCGCTGCAAAGACATGCAACATGTTAAGGTTTATGCTCTGGAAAGAAAATTAAAACGTCTAACAGACAGAGTATGTGGGTAAAGTCATCTATAGGATGTGTGTACCTGCTTGAAGGTTTGTATCTAAAATTACTCGCCAGCACGGCGGCAAAGATTAAACAAGACATCTAGACCTCGGTGGTGAGGGATAAGGATGGAGGCCATGCACGCATGAGGCCACACTAAGAGATACAGACCGGCATTACTCAAAACCCCAGTGTCAGTCAAGCTTAACCTGGACATTATTATTATCACAAGCAAGACGACAGAGAACTATTTATCAGTCCTGTACTCCGACCCCCACCCCCGTATCAAGAGATACAGAGGATTGGAGCGGCCATGCTGATAGTAAGGCACAACATGATGGACTTATTGAGGGAGTGGGGGCAGAAAGGAAAACCAAGCCAAAGACAGATGGCAAGAAGAAGTAAAGAGAGAAAAAGAGGAAGAGACGTGGAGGGTAAAGACGAAAGGAAGTGACAAAACATTAGTTGGAGATATTCTGGATGTCACTGGGTGAGAAAGCACATATTGGTATTACCCAGCTGTTCTACAGGGAGCCCATAATGACACAACCAATGCACTTCACATCAATGTGTTTTATAAGTCTCCTTTTTACTTTTTGGCAGTGGTGCTACAGAAAGGTGGCCCATTGGGGGCCATGCCCCCTTCTATTATTTGCTATCCCCTCTTTCTCTGTTCCTCCCTGCTCAGACTGGGTTATATGCATTATCTCTTTGATTTATATGGGTTTTAAAATGAAGAGGCCCAGCCCCAAATGGGTCTGGGCCGATAACACATTATGCTGGATAATAAATAGTCCCAGAAATTATTGAGAATAACAAAAAGTATCCTTAAGTGCTCCCACACTGCAGCTGCCACATTCAGCTTTGAAAGCATTTCCATCTCTGTTTTTTTCTAACTCTCATCCAGCATTTCTCTGGCACGCTGCTCCTCAGCCATGAGGCTCTTATAGCTACAATTGCTACACAAAGAAAAAAATGGGGGAGGGGTAAGTGGAGACCGATTCACCAGAGAAAAAGAAAAAAAACATAACGAAAACAAGAAAGGCTGCAGATGGACATTGTTCAGTTTGTTTAAATGTATCATGTGATTAATTCATTTATTGTAAAAGAGCTGCTGTAGTATTTTTCTTTAAGTCATCCTTATAGTTTTTTTTCTCTTCCATAGGCTACCATTCGTTTATATGGAGGTAAATTGGTCTCAAATTTCACAAATACACATATGTGATTCATACACACACAGGACAAGATCCACACCCACACTCACACAGCACGATTCACACAAGCATACAAGATTCAGCACATGATTCGCCAAAGTATTTCTGGTCCATAAACGATTATAAATTAAATCACAAAGTATCAGTGGTCTTTAAACTTCACTGCATTTTTGTGTGGATTGTTAAGACTCCTGACATGCCTTTATTACTATTATTATTAATATCCACCTGTATATTATATTCAGTACATATCCAGCTGTAAATTTAGTTCATAACACTAGTGATCTATATATTATATTTAGGGATGCACGATATTGGGATTTTGGCCGATATCTGATATGCCGATATTTTAAAACTCATGTAGCCGATAACCGATATCGATACCGATGTTAAAGTAGTCATTGAAAATAGCAGTTTTGTTATCCATTTCTGACACTTAAAAAATATACTCA